AGGCTATCTGAGTTATTCCTACAGCTACTATAAAAGCTTCTGGATTTCCAAATCATCTGCAGTTAAAATGAAAAGACAGAAGCAGAAGAAGGGCTATTAAATTTGGAGTAGACATTCAAGTCTTCAGAGCAAAATCCAGAAGGATCGAACTTCATGCTCCAGTTTTTCCACAGAGCAGAGCTAGGTGTTAACTTCGAGCATTTAAGCTGTAGGACTGCACCACCCGTTTGGGAAGGAGGTCTCACGGCGGGGAAGGAAGCCTGTCTCCTGCATAGTCACTCACTCCTCTCAAAACCTTCATTTTTGCTTTGGTTTTTGGAGACTGTTTACAGCAGCACACCTGGTTTTGTACAGAACACAGGGATTCAGCTTCAAATTTAACAGGCACAGTGACACGCTGCAAACTCTAACACACAACTACTCAGATCTTCACTCTAAATTCTGTTGCTTCACTTCATTTCCCGACTAAGTCTTCTTTCATAGCCTGACAGTGACAACTAAAATGATGTAGTTAAAGTAATAAACAGGGAATTTCAAGTAGCCTGTCAAAATAAGTGACATTTATATCATCTTAGTCTTAAACTCATGTAAAGTTCCATTCAAATTAACTTCTTCATTATGCCAAAAGCTACCTTCCCCATGGAAAGACGCCGCATTATCTCTCACAGCAGTTAGTGGGCTCCGCATCATTTCCAGCAACAGCATTTAGTGCTTAACAGCAGCTGCTTCTTCATTAGGAAATACGCTTTTCTTGTTAGCCATTAAACTCTTCCAAAAGCACATCAAGTCGACAGAAACCTCTGACATTTTGTTTGCAACCTGCTGGGGTATCAGCAAAACTGACAGGCCACCGACTGACTTTCAAGCAAGCCACACACTTGCTCCAGAGGCTGGCGAGTGCTGTAACTTGAATAGACCCAAGGGCAACACCACCACCATGGAAGGACCACCCCTCCAATTTTTCAAGGAAGTAGAGATGACATAGTGATTTTGGATTTCTGCCACTCCAAACAAAACAAAGTAAAGAAATGTTTAGTTCTACACAACATGAGACAATTAGAAAAAAAAACAAAATGGTGAGGCCAGGAAAGAAATAAGTGGTAAAAAGAAATGCTACAAGAAGTGATCTATACTTAAAGTTTCATTCTTTCTGTAATTCCAGCCGTCTTGAACAGCTCACAGATGTTGCACGCTAAAAGGACTTCAATATCTTTGCACTAATAGAAGCTTTAAAATGCTATTTACATTGTTTTCTAGGCTCCAGCATCACCTCTGAAACACCTCTGATGCATTAAACATTTAAACCCCCTCTACTTGTAAAATAGGCAACGTTTCCCCTTCTCACAGAACATCACTGGCACCAGCCAAGTCTTCTTACCGTTTTTCCTTTAAGCTTGATGTTTATTAGAAGACCAGAATGGGGGCAGGTTTTCTTGCCCTTTGAAAGGTTTTTGATTTGTTACTTAACTAAACATGTTTGTACAGCTTTCTTCATATCTACGAGTCTTTAATCCACAAGATGTCAGTTGAGGCAATAATTATATTAATAAATTGTAGACAGTCTAAGAAGAAAAGAAAGATGGAGAGGCATTTGGAATTAACATGCTGTGAATCAGTCCTGCATCATCCTTTGTCAGTGGCATTAGCAGGCTTTTCTTCCCCCCTTCTTGTTGCCTTTTAGTAATAATTTTCAGTGCGTTTGACACATTTCATCTCACTCAATGCACTGAACCCTAATACAAGAGAACACCAGTTTGTCAAACGTACGTTATTTGAGGATGCATATCAGTTTATCTTAGGCGGCTGACATTGGCAAAGACAGCCACGCCGGTAGGAGCTATAATCACGCTCGGCAAGGAGGAAAGGGGGATCGTGTGAGAGCACAAGTGTGGCTGCAGAGATACCAGCACCACCCAAGGCCTAAGCCCCCAAAGCCCTGTGTTCTCAGTTCTCCCCAAATCAAAACTCTCCCACACCAGTTTCAAAGCACGCATTTCCACTGCTGTTGACAACAGGAGCTGCAAACCTGAAAAGACTAGGTGTCTCCCTGGCAGAGGACCCAGCATCAGGTATAGATGAGAGCAAGACTCTGTTCTGAAAAGACTTTTGAGTTGTCTATGTGAGTTTCACAGAAGCCTCTGAACAGTTATGGGTCAAAGTAGAGCACACGACAGTCTTGCAGCACTAGGGCCAGTATTTGCAATTTGGGATACTCACCTTGTTTTGCTGCTATAGGCATTGCAGAGTGAAGTCCTGAAAGGTTTTCTTAAACAAAAACGCCCAAACAAAAACGCTGGTTACTATGGCAGAACTTCTAGAGATGTCATTACACCTCACTGTTTCTAACAGCTGCTTTTAGCAATATAAAACGCTAAACACATTTAGACTTCAACACGAGGGCGCTCATTAAAAAAAACAGCGATTTCAGAGATTATGCAACATAGTGAGTTTTCTCTCCCAAAGTCCACAGGAGCTGGAGACATGATAAAGTAATTATGCTGCAAGTCTCCTGAGATCAGTATCTATTTCCGTTTTACCATTTGGCTCAAGTCCAGATGTGAGTCAATATGGAAAAATATATGGTGTACTATAAAACCAAAACTCTTATTTCTTCAATTTCCAAGCTCATTTATATTTTTGAACAAGGTTACCTGAGATTAGGAAAGAAAAATGGAAATCAAGATGACTGCAGTAGTAGTAATAGTATTTTCTACATATATTTAATATGAACTTGCTATTAAAATAATTTTAAAGAAATAAAAGGTTAAAATAAAACCCGTTCTCTCCATTCTAGTTCATTTCACATACTAAAACTATTTTGGATCTAGTGACTTTTAAGTAAGTTTCTTGTGTATAGTTTGTTATTTCTATTTACACATTTAACAGACCTAGATGGAATTTTTAAAAGTAATTAATTTTTTATTCCCCAATTCGGCATTGAAAAAAAAACCACCAAACCCTGCAAAATACATATAGAGACTCAAATGCAGAAAAATTTCTTGAATTACATAACTGATTTCTTCCAGACAAAGGGCTTCACATGGCTATTCTTACTATTCATTTCTACCACCTCATAAGACAGAAAACATCTGCTGAAAAGACTCTTTCAAAGAGAAAAGTATGTAAAATTGACTCCCCAGGTACATTGTTTACTGCAAACAATTCCAAGATTTCAGGGGTAATATTGCTCGCTCTTTAATGAGAGATTATTTTATTTACTCCGAACAATTTTTATACACTACTAATTTCCAGAAATCACTAAGAACAGATCCTTGTTCTGTTTACAACTTCAAGGTAGAACCACATCTGCCATTCCACCAGTGGAAACACTTCCCCGAAGGAATTTGCTCATTTCAGACCTAACTTCACCATAAGAAACCATCCTCCCAGCAGACTGGTAGGACACATTATTAAAGAAAAGCAAATGAAAGAACAGCAGATTTGAGTGGGTGAGTATAAAGAAGAAAGGATTTTGTTTTCTAGTCTCTAGTAGACAACAGGTCCCCTTGCTCCTTGCTTTATACCTAAGCAGTTCCCTAATTCTTTACAGAAAGAGGAGGATTTCACCTTTTGGAACCAGTGTGGGAGAACACAGCATTGGTGATGCACTTCAGAAAAGAATGGCAGTTCTACAAATTAACTCTTCCAAGTATCTGACGCAGAGTGGAATGAATACCAGTCTAAGACATCTAATGCCTGACTCAATGGAAAATCTCCACTCCATTCAGTGAGTCTTTGAGTCAGTCTTTTACTGCAGAGATGGAAGAGATGAATTCACCTATGATCTGGCCTGCCCCAAGTAGATTAATTCTGAGAGAAGGAAACTGTATCATTAGCAAGTAGCATACATGTGAAGTCAGAACTGTAAGGGAGACACCAAAAGCTTTTCCTCTTTTGAAATGCAGTCAGCATCTCCTCTGTGGGACTGATGAACGAAGTTAAAAGAAACAGAAAAACATGATTAACTTGACTTTCACTAAATACCCAGTAAGGTCATTGTCAATCTGACCAATGGTATTTATAAAATTTTCTCCAGAGGCTGTCCCTAGGACTCTAGGTTTTGCTTGTGACTTTCCTCCCCGTCCCATTGCACAATTGCATAATTAGATTTTTCAAAAATATTAACAAAACCTTTCACCCCTCCCACCAAGCTAGCTGTGTCAGCTTTAGAACACACGTTCTCTTTGCAAACATGCCAACATCTTACGATGGATACCCTGACAAGTGCTGACACTGCTATGAAAAACCAATGCTTGGCTACTAGATTTTGTGACAATGCCAGGAAAAAAAAAAATAATTGCTAATTCTCTTCCACTCATCTCCCATGGAAGACAAAGAATTTGAAAATGAGATATTTAAAACAAACAAAAAAACCCCCAAAACCAAAAATCCACAATTAAAAGGAACAGTTAATACTCTAGAACAGAGCTTAAAATTTAGCATTTCATTCATCCTCTAATATCAGGAACCACAATAAGGAAAATGTCTGCCGCTTCTCCTTCAATCAATACAATCCCTTAAGAGTCCCAGCTTCAAAACATTCACATAAAATATTAGCGTTATATATTTGCAGTAGATAAACTGAACCAGCAAGGCAATCAATCAATTTTCAATTACTTGTGGCAACTAGATGAGATGATAGTGCACACACTAACCACTGACTATAGTCACCTAATGAGCAGGCTCATGCCTTATGGTAGTCACTAGCCTCTGGGGTACATAATTAATAATAGCCATTTACAATCATAAATATGTATTTCCTCTTCTGTCTTCACGAATAAAGTTTATTACGTGTAAGCTGAGATGTGCTCGTCACAAAACCATCCAGTGTAAATTCTTTTTGCAAGGACCATACACTGCTGCTTATGTTACAGGGAGGGAGTTCATGAAACGCATTAGTAAAATTACAAGTGCAGCAAGAGCACTAACTTATTTATTACTTAGTACACTGCAGCATTTTCACATCCCAGTAGATGTGTTCTGAGTAACGTCATACTTACAACATCAAACTTCTGCGTGATGTTCCCCTGGACATCAAGTAAATAAACTTTGCCATAATGTGTTCCCAGTGCCAAAAACTGTAAAAGAAAGAGACCGATTAAACACAAAGACACTGCAACCAAAGCCACAGCAATGCTGAAGGTACTCCCAGATGTTTAGCGGATTAATGATTAGCAGCACCTAGGAGAAAACCCACAGAAACCACCTTCTATAGACAAAGCATGTTTTAACCGCACCTACAGAATAAAACAGGGCTTCAAGCCCATATTCCTGTGATAGTCCAAGTTAGCTGTCAGAATGAGTCATGAGGACCCTCATCCACTGACAACTAATGGTGCATCTGCAGTCCGTACACACTGCCTGATGGACTGTGGCAGCAAATTAAACATGCAGCGTGAAAGCGAGGACCAACACAGACCTGAAATAGTTCCTGGATCCCTTCCACAGCTTTGTTTCCATCATAATAGTTTCTTTTGGGCTTCATTTTTAATTCTCCTTCATTGTTAAAATAAAACCAAGACATTCAAACACAGCGAAGGGCCACTGGTTAAGTCACTGGTAAAATACTGCTGAATTACGGAGGATCTCTGACAGCGCATGTAAGCACAGAGATAACCACTAGATATGCTTCCCTTCACATAGTAACAGTCCAATATTGAACACTCTCAAGACAAACACACTTTTCCTCGGAAATCTCGGAAGTTGCATCCTAAAATATAGTAGCAAAATAAAGAAGTCTCCCCACAAACGCGTGCTATCACAAACTTATTGTGCTACAAACAAGAAGGGAATTGATTCGGAGAGATCTGCTGTTAATTGAACCATGTGAACTACACCTAAACAGAAAAGGAAGAACTTTGGTACTACTTGATTTATATAACAGAGGTTTCTGCTATTCCCCCCCTCCTTTCAGCATTACTCAAAATAGTCGAGGCTCCTCAATTCTCCGTATTTCACTGCATGTGAGCATGCTTCATTGCAACCTATAATGAAATGCTCAAATTTACAGGCACTGCTAAGCGTGTCAGTCAGGCAGCACAATCTTTAAAAAAATAACCTTACAGAAAGTCAAGGTTTAAAAGGATTTATCAAAATGGAATTGCTTAAAATGAAATTTCAGTTCAGGCACTTAAAATATGAAGCTACATTAAAAGGAGTCAAAAAAGGGAAAGAAGGGGTTCATTAGAAATTCATCCCCTGCAATGCCTTTCACTCCTGCAAGGTTGCCTTTTTTCAGGAAGAAAAAAGTCCCCCGGGTAAAAAAATCAATACTGGTTAATAAAACATCAGGTGTGCAGACATAACTAGGTATGACTATTCCACTGCACAGGCCTGCTTGAATGCACCAGGTGCCATGACGATTAGTCATCCAGTGCAGACAGCAAGCCTAGTGAAAATATGATGCTTTAGCAGTGAAAAGAAAAAAAAAATAATTCTGGGGGGAAATTAGTCTGAATACAGAAGCCAGATTTTTCAGGATTCCCAGCAAAGTTAAACTGCTTTAATCAGCAGCATGTTTTACATAGTACTGTATAATTTTGCTAATGATAACTCCTTAGCAGGGCTTTTCCTCGTCTCATAGGGGGAAAAAAAAAAAGAAAAAACAGAACAAAACAGAAAACACCCTCGCAAAACCTACAATCTGGCTTCATTTTTGAGCTCTCTGTTGTAAGAGACCTATTCCTAAAAGACTCCAGTACCTGGCTTATAACAATATTGATCCTTCTCATAAATAGTGTATCTAGTTTGCTGGAAAACTAAAAGTGCTGGGACATTTAACAGTTTTCCTGTATTGTCACTCTTTGTGACACTATAGTTAAAGGCCTATCTGTGCACATCCTTACAGAAAAATCCTGTTCATCTCTTGGCTTTCAAAATTTACCTGAGCCTCAGGAAAAAAAGGTAACACTAACAGGCTACAGACCAGGAGGAAATGCTTGCCAATTTTCCAAATATCTGTGTAATTCTGAGTTGTCAAAAACATTTTAAGAAGACTTATTGTTTTCATTCGCACAGTTAAAATACAAGCTTCATCTTAAGAGCCTCTTGAGCCATGGCAACAGTCCTTTGAGGAAAAGCAGCACAGCACGAGTCAATCTAAAAAATATAGCCAAATAATAGAGATAGATCCCTCAACAATAACTGTTAAGGAGCTATTACTGGCTGTGAAAAACTACACATTCAGAAAACAGCTATTATGTTTTACATACTAATAGTTACTTGATAAATCATTAACTCATGGTTTCAGACACTCTTCAGCATGCCTCAATATTTTAAAATGTCATTCAATATTTAAAAAACAGAAGAAAATTCAGAAAGTGAAAAAGCAATGGTTTAAATCACTAAAGAAACATGAAATTTCTTCCTTGTAAGAACAAAGGAATGATTCTTGGTAAAATTTCTTTACTTTCCTTTTCCCATCACTTTCTCCCTTTCCTTCTCTTGTATATCTCAATCTTGCCAGTATTACAGCATGTGCATTTCCTCTCCTTGTTTTTAACATATGGAATCAGAGAAGGGGAACAGAAGCGTTAGTACAACAGCCCCTCGGGAGGCAGGGGGGAACAAACACTACACCCAGCCCAAAAAAATCCCACTAAGCCCCAAAGAAAAAAGGAATAGTGCAATTACTTTCTTCTACACTGTATTAACAGAAACTCAGCTGTCTTCCACAGCTGAAAATATGCTAAGCTGGCCCCTAGCATGATCAAGTCTGTCTTCAGTGAGTCAGGCACAGTATATGCCCATTTCCTTTCTGAATAAAATAGAGTTGAGACTATATGCCAATTCTAGTTGATAATACTGTCCCTAATTAAAATCGAGTGAGCATCTTCCCAGTAGCTTCCGTAAACATCCCATCTAACAAGTCACTGTACCTTGAATTCTCACCTCATTTTCTCACTGAGAGAGCGTGCCCTGTTCAACACAAGTTAGCATGAGTTTTGTCTAGATCAGTGTTGGCTTGCGCTGCATCTCTAGATTGGGCAGCACTTCTGCACAGAAATACACTGATGCCTTATAAGCACAGATAAATACCTGATGAAACCAAGCAGAAGTTCTCTCCCTGCCATAAAGTGACGCAATACCTTTTCATGCACCGTCATGCAGCTGGCTGCATCCTTCTGGAGAATTTCAGTCACTCCATTAGAAAGCCGTTCATACTTCAGCTTAGGTTCTTCTTCACTCTCATCTTCCTAAATTTTTAAGAGTGTAAGGGAAAGGGAACAAGAGAAAAAAACAAACATACATTTAGAAGTTTATTTTAAATAAAGACAAATTAAAACATACACCAAAACTACTACATGGCAACAGGCGAAGATGGATCATTATCATCTCTTAACAACAATCATTACGATCAAAAGCCAACCTTTCATATTTTTATCACTGGAGGGGGCTTGGGTTGTGCTTTTTTGTTACTGATTCTCTTTTTACTCCAAAGTCCTGGGTGCAAGCAAAGACTGAATAGCAGCATACCAATTCAGCTGTAAGAGGCACTTAGTTCATATCTAAAAAGCAGAAAAAAACGTACATGTGTACTTTGCTACATGAAGTTAGCCATTCTCAATTTAGAAGTAAAATATAAAAGGGATGGATACGCAAAAACGTATGACATAACAAAGTGTGCCACTGCAGCCACAATCAACTCTAAGCTGAAGCATGCAGGTTACAAGAAACTTGAAAACCTTTACAAGATGCTGCACCTCTGTGGGAAGGATAGAGGCAAAACGCTGTGAACAAAAATAAAAAAGAACCCACTAGGAATAAGTTAATTGTATAAAATGTACTAATGGGTTTATGTTTGAAGAAACAAACAAAAAAAAAAGGAGTATAAATACGTTGTTGCAAAACTGTCTGGGAAAAGGATCCAGACACAGCACATCCCTATGGACCACCTGCATCATCTGCATGTTAGGAACTTTTTCTGGTAAATAACAAAGCTTTCCTCTCTTTTTCCTTTTGAGCATGTTAGGTACTATCACCCCATCTCTACTTAGATGCAAAGAAAGATGATGCACCAAGTGGCACAGAGGGAAGAGAAAGGAGATAGAGCTAAAAAACACAAGCAGCAAATTTATTGATCAAAGAACACTCAACAGGTTCATCTCTTAAGAAAAGAAAACCTAAGGTGCAAAATAGCTCTCTGATCATAGGCATCTGACTGTAACATATGGTCTACTGAAGTACAATGCCAGAGTGATTTCACAAGCTTCAGTAAGCCTCAGATAATATTATACATGGACAGACACACACACCCCCATCTATATCCCTCGGTCCTCACTGGGAAACATTATACCCCCAACAATCATCTCCCACACTCGCTATTAGTTCTAATGAACACAAAAATGTTGAGTGTGTTTCCCACATAAAACACGTCTTCCATTCTTAAGCAACCAGAATATACCACCGCAGTGCTCCAGCAAAGGAGCATCTGTACTTTCCACCAACCACTGCTTTTCAACCCCTAGAACAAAATGAAAATGCTGTGTCAGCCCATGGCAGAAGAACTATATTTGCGCAGTGTTTTCTTGTAGCTAGTTTTCTTGTAGTTCCTTGACGTGACATATAAATTTGGAAAAGAGACATGTTAACAAAACATACTTTGTTAAACTTCCTTTGGGGTACACTAAAGCCAGTCTTTCCCAAGTTAAGTATGATGGCCGTTTACCACGTGTGCTCCCATCACACACAGTACTACGCACATACGCTCGTACAGAACACATAAGAGCCATACGGACCTATGGAAACGTTTGATATTTAGCCCCATGCTTACATAAATACGCTGCAAAGAGCAGCCCTTTCAAAATGTTATTTGAGAGTTTTATGTCAGAATACAAATGAGATTAATATAGGGATGTCAGCAGTCCATGACGTAGCAGTCTGAAGTGAGATGTCAAAACGTTCAGCAAGAAACAATTTTATTCAGTAAATCTAACACTGAACAAAGTTGTTACTAGACAGAATGACAATGTCAAATTACAGGGCTGTATATAAATCAGCCGAAATCCGTGTGCCTAGAGATCCTTAATAAATGACTACAGGGTAGAAGGAGGAGGTAAAGTCAAAATAAAAAGCGTCCAAGTGATGGAAGGCAGGCGTAAGGAAGCATGGGTCCATTTTACAGCAATTAATACATTACTGCATTTTATACATTGCTTACAAAGATTACACTTGAAATGCATGGGTAATCATTGAATAAATTCATAAAAGTAAAAATTGAACTCCAGTCATCTAGTTTTTATAAGATCCCACATGTTGCTGGAGTCCGGACATCACATGTGCAACCAACGTGAAAAGTTAATTCTCGTCTCTTGAGCAGTTTGCATAAAAGCATTCATCCATGGACCATTAGATAAAGTTACTGTAAATAAGTTTTGCCTGTCTTATTTATGAGTGAAAACTAAGTAATTTTTCCTGCTCAGGCATATACAAAAAATATATACTTTCAAAAGTCAGTGCACCGAAGCATTCTGCCAGGCTTCAAAAAAAGTAAATAAAATGAAAACTTGAAATATTGGGCACGATGACGTGCTCATTTCACGCTTTCTTGACAGGTATCTTATGTTAAGTAAAAGTCAAGCTAAAAGGTGAATTGAAATGGAGGGGGACAACCTTGCTGTAAACAAAATGAAATGAAAAAGGTGATTTGCAAAAACACAAGATTCCTCTACTGCTTCAGACTCTACCTCATATATTAAATGCATTTGATCATCTCTTATTCCGAGTATCCGAGTTTAATCACTTCAGAGGTATTTTTCTATCAGGTAAAGCTTTGATGCCGTCTGAACTTCTAAAGTAAACACAAGCCAGTGTTAATAAAAAACAAATCAATAATTTTTGTTAAATTTTAATAATCCTGAAAACCTACAAATAAAACCATCAGCAGCCTGAGTTGAGATGACAGTTAGCTGCGTTTCTATGACAACCTAGAGGAATAGTACAAGTCCTGACTTGCAGTAAAGCTAAGATATAAACAGTGTGACATTTACCCCATACAAGAAAACTCACAGCTTTCCTTTTTTGGGGGGGCAGGGGGTGAATAAGAAAAAAAAAAATAATCAAATTCTCAACTAACATGGATTTTTACTGTGTGGCACTTTTAATTAAAAGAGAAGTCCTTTAAACCATCCTAGAAAATACTAAACATTTGAAAATAAATTTTATAGCACTGCTACTTGTACCACCACTTAATACTTCTTACGTATTATCTGCCTAAAAAAACTCAAACAAAACAAGTCCAACAACACTGAGTTTTGAAATTCTTGACAAATGTATTACGAGAACAAAATATATACTGCACAAAACGTGCAGCCTTAAACTCTGAAAGGCAAGCAGACACACAGAGCTGGCAGGAGGAAGCTACCTTTGCAGTGGTGTAAAATAAACAATGACCATTTTTCAACCACAGGAATGTAATTTGAAACTCATTCCATTTAGTTTTCTACCTGCCTTTTACTGCTGAAGCTAGCAGCCAAATTGCTAAAAATATGCTGTAAAGAACTTGTAAAGAACAGGTATCCACAAACATTTCCCACTGAAAGCACATTTCCAATTGAATGAATTATTCTAAATTAACTAGTAAGGCTAACACAAATTCTTTTGTACTAAGAGCTCTTCTTTGTCACTGCTCAACTCCTCAACTCAAACTCCTCTTCCCACACCTAACACCTAGCAGGTCTGCAACTCACTACCAACTCTTCTGAAGCAGATTTACAAAACCCAGAAGAGCTGCAAACGTGCAATAAGCTCTCAAAAGGCTAGTGCCATTGCGAGGGATGCTCATCTGCCTTTACGAAAGCAGGTTCACAAGCTTCTTCAGATATTCTGCCTCGTCTTTCCCAGCTTTGCCTACAGGAACAACTGCGGTGGAATCGTCAGAAGAAAAAAAAATAATCAGAAATCAGTCCTCATGAAGAAATTTTCCAGAAGGAACCTGTGGGCAGTTCCTGGAGTTATTCCATTAGCCCACATTTGCTCCTGCAGCAGAGGATCTGCCCACAGGACAGTCTGTCACATGAACTACATGCTCTACTGATTGTGGATACTCTAATTACGTTACGGGCACTGACACCAAAGTGTCATCCTTCCCGCACGATTTGCCCTCCAAGTTTGCCAAAGCCTTTATGGAAATAAACGGTGCATACATTATAAGGCAAGTGCCCTTCCTCTTTGCTGCACATCTTCTGTCCAGTCCCAGCTAGAATTCCAGTTACTATAGGTGGCCATTCCAGCCTTGTTTATGCCTGCCAGTTTGGACTCTGCAAAGCATTTAAACTCAAACACCAAGATACCCCAGGTCCATCACTCCAGCAATTTCAAAGGAGCTACACTCACACCTTGCTGCAACAAGGCCCCAGTGCCACAGACCTTCCTAAAAACGCCATGTCTTGGGGGGGAAAAAAAAACACAAAAAAAAATCAAACAAAACACCCACAGGTCATTTCCACTTTTTATGCTTTCTTTCAAGTTCATGTCAACTTCGAAGACTATAACAAAGATGTTAAATTAGCTCATTTCCTCCCATCTTAAAGCCCACTAGAAGTGCTCTGCCTCTGGATCTGAAAAGTTCATGTTCAGGACACATTCAAAAAAAATCTCACGAAAAAAGCTCCGCTCTGCTGCCAAAGTGCAAACCCAACATCACTGCTAAAAAGTGAGAAGAGGCTACTTAGAAATTTGTGAGAATAACTTTTCTTGACATTTAATGCAGGTCAGATCTTTGGAAAGCCATGTAGAACCTCCGAAGAAATCTGCACTTCTATGTATTTAAAGTCATCACTATCGTGCAGAAGAAAAAAATAAACTAGTTAGAGCTCCAGAATTATCAGTTTACAATCTATGTGAAAATCTCCAGTAGAACCAAAGAAGCCAAGTCCATTTATTTTTGAGCTAAAATAAAGGCTCACAAAACATCCTCAGCTATGCAAAAATGAATAAACACATCCTTAGTGCCCTGCTGGGGACAGCTTCACTTATTACAGAAATTCAACGACTAATATTAAAAAAAACCACAACACACACAAAAAACCCACCAAAAACAAAACAAAGACCACAAAAAGACCTCAAGCCCCAGAATGCAGTCTCCAGGGAGAATTACTTATTTCTCTTCCATATAAACAGAAGCACAAAGTGCAGCAACGTACCCAGCAGAACACAGTAGCCAAGATCTTCTATTACCTTTTTGGTCCTGACAT